TTCAAAATGCCGTTAAAGAATTTGAAATATCAGTGTTGTCATTTGAATTTCTGGGTATACGTCTGTATTTCCCATACATCAAAAACTTTAGGACTAATAAGATGAAGAATAATCAGATCTTTCGTTAAATACCACAGTTGCAATATTTACTCTTCTAAGCGTACATTGTCAAATAATTAATGCAGTATATTATGAATACGAAATTTTAAATTTCAACATTACTGGTTGCTTTAACCAAAATTAAAAACAATAAATAACAAAGAAAAGCTATTTTTACCTCTTCTTTACAGAGATCTTTATGCTCAAAAAATGACATTTTGTAAAATTTTCTCGCCTATAAAGAACATAATTTTATAAACTTAACAAGAAGCTAATGTGGTTATGCCTTTTAATATAGATAATAGCATGCGAAAGTGATAACAGAATCGGTGAGAATGGATAAAAATTATGATTAAAATGTGGCAATATTTGGAGGTAAGTCTTTAAAAATAGAATGAAGTCTGTAATTACAGTATAGCCATAGGTTGCATTTCTTAAGATACGTTCGCACGCAAGGGTTCTTTCATCAGTCATCTCCTTATTTATATTATACATGGAAGAAACCACAGAAACATCTGAGTTCTTTAGGAATCGAACCATGAATTAAGTTACCAGTGTTGAATGTTTTCAAAACGCTTGTTGAAATACGAGGGTTGCTATTTTTATTTCTAGCCTAATATTGAAAAACAGATGTTTATGATCGTAATTGGTTTTATTGTTTTTCAAAATAGTTTTCATGAAGATCAATACACTTTTACATGCGTCTGAACCAATTTTCGGGGCACTTTTCCCACTCCGATAGAGGTAACTCCAAAACATGCTTTTGAATGCATCAGCCGCTTCTTCGGGCGTCGCAGATCGCTGACCGCGTAATTTATTTTTGATTTTCCGGAATAAAAAAGTCACTGTGTTCCAAATCAGGGCTGTACGGCGGGTGCCCCATCAATTCGATGTTTCGGACAGTCAAAAATTTCCTTGTTTGAGCCGATGTGTGAAAGCTCACACTGTCATAATGAATGATTGGCTTCTTTTTCTGCTTTTTTCTAATTTCTCTGACGCCTTTTGGCAACCAAATGGTCATGTACCATTCGAAGTTGACAGCTCTGCGTTTGCTCTGAGGCCATTACCACCAAATGAGCGGTAATGTCGAAGAAACAGGCAACCGTTTGCTTCGAAGTGCTTCTTGCGCGAACAACTTTGGGTTCGTCTTGGAAGACCCATACAGTCGACTGCTGTTTTGTTTCCCCTTATAAATAAATATTTTAATCATACTATCTTTTTTTGAATTTAATAATGAAAAATTAGTAAATTTTTAATCCTAATTTTCCTGTTAAATAACCCTTAATTTAATTTATTTAAATTTAAAAACTTAGCAAAAACTTAAATAAATGTTTACCAAAAACATTTCTTATAGAAATAATTATAAGCAAAATCTGCTCAATGGGTCCTCAATAGCTGCAGGCCTCCCTGTGCTAAGATAGCATAATCATTTCCCTTTTAAGGCTTGTATGAAAGATTTAACATCTTAATTTCTTTCTTTTAATTTATCTATTTAAATATAAAAAGATATTTATTTAGAAAGACGACAAGACCCTATTGAATTTTACTTTAGTTTAGCTGGGGCAGCTAATTAATTATTATTTTTAAGCTTATTTATTTCATAAAAAAACCCAATCTAATTGATTTCATAACCAAGTTACCATAGGGATAACAGCACAATATTTTACTTAAGCTCTTATTTAATAAAAAGCTTGTGACCTCAATGTTGAATTAATATTCCTTTTGGTGCAACCACTCTAATAGAAAGTCTGTTCGACTTTTAAATAATAACATGATTTGAGTTCAAACCGGTGTAAGCCGGGTTGGTTTCCGTCACCTGTGTAGATGTTATACACAACCTTTGATGCATCTTGAACGTATTTTGCCAACATTTCCTTGCACCAATCGACACGAGCCTACTTTTCAGTGTTTGTCAGATTATGTGGGATCCAATACAAACAAATCTTTTTTACGGCCAAATGCCCAAGTAATATCTCATTGATGCTTGTCATACAAATACCCAAAGAGGTCTCAATCTCACAGTATGTCACATGACGATCTTGCTTTATCAGTTCACGCAGAGTATCGATATTTTCTGGCACAACAATCGATTTTGGACGACTTTCACGGAATTCGTTCTGGAGCGAACGTCGACCACGATTGAATTCGTTATACCAGTTTTTTTACAATGCTATATCACTGTATAAAGAATTACGTTCTTCGAAGCATTCTTACTTGGTAATCCACGTCGAAAGTTATGAAACATAATCGCACGAAAATGTTCAAGCGTCAATTCCAATTTTTGCCCGAGATGAAGTATCAGTTTACTGTAAACGACACAAATCACGCTAAAATGTCAAAATATTCTGAAGAAGTTGTGGTTAAAAATATCAAACTAGCGATTGGAATCATCTGTGGTCTCGTTGCAAGACTTAACTGTTGCCAAGGCCAGAAATATAAATAGCAACATTCGTATAAGATGACAAGTTACGGGTAAATTTCTCATTGAAAATCTTTAGTAAAAAAGGATTAATAGAAAACAACATTTTTAAAATTGCTTTGATTTAAACCTTTATTGCGTAGTTTTTAAATTTCGACATCAAAACTATTTTTGGCAAGATTATTTTGTATGTAATATCGGAAAATTATGCAAAAGGAATCAAACGTTTAAAATATCATAATGCGTTCTTTCTATATCCTAAGTCGCGCTTTCGAGACATGAAAAATGCAATTTGAATTTCGTCAGTCGGTCCAGTAGAACGGAAGATATAGAACTGCCGAATTTACGGAGAAATTAAAAAAAATTATCTTGGCGGACTTTTTTTCAGTTTGAGCCAGGAATAATTTACTTGGCAAACTTCTTAATTTATAGCAAATTATTTTCTATTCCTCTCTTTCATTGCAGACGAGTGGAGAAGAAAAGGTCATCGTTTATACTTTCAATTAATATTAACAAAGTGCGTAAACCGCATTTGGCGTTATGCTAAAAACAAAAAAAAAAACAAAAAAAAAAAAAAAAAAAAAAAAGATGTGAAATTTCAAAACGCTTCAATATGTAAATTCGTGTATATCTTAGAAAATTTTGAATAAAGAACTCTAATTTTTGCAGGTGTGCCTAGAAATGCATCTACTTTAAAATTATGTTAAAAATTTTATACGTTTATAATACAACACCGTTTTCGAAAAATTTATAAAAAATATTTTAAAATACAAAAATTAAAAAATAAATCCTAAAAAATGTGCGAATTGTATTTGGATTAAGCTTCAATTTCGAATTCTGGAACAAGGAATCAAGTAAGTTTAATAAAAAAAGAAATATTAATAAATATATATTAAATTCAATTAACATTAAAGAGCTAAAATTCTGAGAGCGAATTTTTCCAAAATTACGTCTGCGAGTTTTACAAAACTTGGCACTTCGGCATTATTTGAGTCGTAGAATCGAAATATGGAAAAAAAACTGGCAGGTCATTTCGGAAAATGTCCGATTTTGTGTCAAAAAATACCTATATTAGAACAGTGTCAAAAAATACCTATATTAGAACAGTGTCAAAAATACCTATATTAGAACAGTGTCAAAAAATACCTATATTGGAACAGTGTCAAAAAATACCTGTATTAGAACAGTGTCAAAAAATACCTATATTAGAGTAGTGTCAAAAATACCTATATTAGAACAGTGTCAAAAATACCTATATTAGAACAGTGTCAAAAAATACCTATATTAGAACAGTGTCAAAAAATACCTATATTAGAACAGTGTCAAAAAACACCTATATTAGAACAGTGTCAAAAAATACCTATATTAGAACAGTGTCAAAAAATACCTATATTAGAAAGTGTCAAAAATACCTATATTAGAACAGTGTCAAAAATACCTAATGTCAAAAATACCTATATTAGAACAGTGTCAAAAATACATATATTGGAACAGTGTCAAAAAATACCTGTATTAGAACAGTGTCAAAAAATACCTATATTAGAACAGTGTCAAAAATACCTATATTAGAGTAGTGTCAAAAATACCTATATTAGAACAGTGTCAAAAAATACCTATATTAGAACAGTGTCAAAAATACCTATATCAGAACAGTGTCAAAAATACCTATATTAGAACAGTGTCAAAAAATACCTATATTAGAACAGTGTCAAAAAATACCTATATTAGAACAGTGTCAAAAAATACCTATATTAGAACAATATTATATGCAAATATAATACATAGCCTAAGTCGCACTTTCGAGACATGAAAAATTTAAGTTTGTTATTCGGCTCAGCAGTGACCTAAAGTCGACGTAACAAGCCTAGTGGCGAAAATAACGCAACGTCACAGAATCACATTAGCACCATGAGCTTCGGCAAGCAGAATACACTCTAATTATACTCTTTAAAACCTTCCTTTAAATGTTTTTCCCCCTTACCTCATTTGAATACCACGCGAGGTAGAAATTTACATTCTGGCAGGAAAGTGGAAATGTGGGTGATAGGAAAGAACATAAAATAACTGTTTAAAACACTGAAACGAGACCTTATAATCTTTTTATTTATGAATATATAACTACACTGTATTTAAAAATATACTTAAAAAAAACCTTACTAAATTTTTAACTTGAAGTACTTGATTGTGATTAAAAATTCATAATATATTTAAAGAATAATTATAAATGAGAAATAACTTAAACTCCAATATAGTGGAAATCTGTGCCGAAACTGTGGAATTTTATAAAACAGATTCTTTCTTTCTATGTTTTAAAATGCTGTTCGAAATTCTGTATTAGAAGAAAACTGAAAGAGGAGATTTATTCAACTCTGAATTCGAAGATATAATAAAAAATAGTTGTTATCAGTTGATGCTTTTCTCAAAAAAAAAAAAAAAAAAAAAGTTTCTTAATAATAGGGAAAAAATGCTAATAATTACTTACATGTACATGTGGCAACATGAAACGTCGAGGAAGGAGTTTCCATTCGAGAGGATTAATGCCTATGAGACAAATGAATATAAAAAGCCACATAATAGTGCTGCTAACGGATGTAAGTGGTCTCCAGTCTACAAATAAAGAAAGCAAATACGAAGAATTAGCTGTTTGAAAAGTCTTATTTCCTTATTGAACACTTTAAAAAGAAGAAAGTAGATCTTTAAATGTCCTAATTAATTACGTCGTCCGTAATATACATTTCTCCCCCCTTTCCATATAGACTCAATGGGCAGAATATTGGAGATATAGTCTGGTTCTATCGATAGTTTTTAACATTATCATGCTCGCAAAAGAACTTGTACGGCAATAAAAATTTTTAAATGATTTTTCTTTATGATCCGGCCGCCAAGACAGGAAAGTGGTTAGCGATTCTGATTGATTTCCGTGCAAAAGGACCTGGGTTCGAGTCCCGGAGAAAGCATGGATGTAATTCGTCCGTACCTTCGTAAGAGGTAACGGGGTCTGTATAATAAAGAGACTGCCGCTTCTGGCCTTAGCACTGGTAACACCTATGAAAATATACTAGAACTCACCATTAGAAAAAAAAAAAAAGAAACTTTTTGCCTATGAAATATAAATTAAAATACTGGCAAAGGAATCTCGCAAATAAATTAGGGCCTTTCATAAAAGGGCTTTTACTGTGGTAATGGTTTTTCTCTCTTTTTTTATACCTTCTCTTATTTTAGCTCAAAATGGTGTTTACTGGACAGGACAGGACAGGAACAAGTACAGGGGGCACCACGCAATCGCCATTTACAAAAATGGTATAGCCCCCATGCACTACCTCTTTAGCGTGCCGCCCCTTCCACAGGGGACCTGATTACGGTATACATAGGACATAGTATTAACAACAAATAAGACATTGAACATCATAATGTTACAACATACTTCGACACATAGGACATAGTATTAACAACAAATAAGACATTGAACATCATAATGTTACAACATACTTCGACACATAGGACATAGCATTAATATATGGTTACAGATTATTTACAGTGCAAGAAGTTATGTTCATTACAGAGCTTGTTGGTTTTGGCACAGCCCATTTCCACAGGGGACCTGATTACAGTAAACATAGGGGGGGGGGGGGGGGGGGGGGGGGGGGGGGGGGGGTGGGGGGGGGGGGGGGGGGGGGGGGGGGGGGGGGGGGGGGGGGGACATAGCACTAACAACGTATAGGACATAGCCCAACATACTGTTACAACATACTTCACATAGGACATAGCATTATCATACTATTACAGATTATTTACAATGCAAAAAGTTATGTTCATACGACATAACATTATCATACTATTACAGATTATTTACAATGCAAGAGGTTATGTTCATAATAGAGCTTGTTGGTTTTGGCATAGCATATGCTTTATGATACCTAGGGTGTTACATTTGAGTTATGTATTGAATGTTGTACTGCGGTAATTAGATAGGTAGTGTTCCATTTGGTCCAAGTTCAATGTTCAGATTTTAGCTGTTCATGGGTGCGCTACTTTAGCATGTACTTTGATGAATTATTGCATTTGATGCACTGATCAGCTGTTCAGTACACATGTGAAATTGGTACGTTCTACCTGGTGTAGATTCTGTTACCTGTTTAAGGTGGTGTTTGACGGGTGTTTACTGGAATGAACTATAATCTCGAAACGGGATTTTGCATCGTCCACTATAAAGTGCGAACCACTTTTCAAATTGCTGCCACCAAGTAGTATCGCCTTTCATTATTTTTGAATTAAATTAAATAATGAAGAATCTTCATGTATGTATGTATGTTCTTTGCACTGTAAAAACATGACGATACGTAAGACCAACAAATTTTGAATAACATGGTCCTCCACTCGAACATGAGCACCTGAGAGTCCAAATTTTGAATTTCTAATCTTAATAATTCATATTTTGTAAAACTTCATTACACAAAACGCAACAGTTTGAAAGCGAACAGTGGCAACGTTGATATGCAGCGCGCGAGACTGTCCATCGAAAATTCTAAAGATATACTGTTTTGAAATATTTTATGGCTATCCGACTGAATTTTACGTGGCGTAAGCGCAAGGAACATGATATTTAATTAATAAATTTGACACATGAAACATTAATAATAATAAGACAAAAAAAGTTTTGGAAGCCATCTTAGTAAGAAAACTGTACACTGATATGATAAGAGAAAATACTTATTTGGTTTACTTAATTATGGCAAAGCGCACTAGGGGCTATCTGCCTAAGGGGAAGAATGCCTTTCGTGGAGGACTTTCTAAGGGAAACTGGCTCGTATACACGTTACACATTGGGAAAACCACGAAAACGCCCATGCAGCCAGCCCGTTCGCGGGATTCGAACCTCGGACCGAACTACTAGTGTTCAGCGACTTTACCGCTCGGCCGCTGGTGGGCCGAGAAAATACTGAATAAAATTAAAAAAATGTATTCTAACATTTAACATTGCATTGGGAATTTTAACATACGTTGCTTTTAAAATTTTTGTAATTTTTCTGCGAAGAAAATTATTATAAAGCTAATTATAAAGCTAAGATGATAAAAAGAATTTGTTAGCAGAAGTGAGTGCAACAGCAAACTGAGAAACTGCGAATCCAGCGCGAGCGTAGAAAAACCTTAACAAACACTTTTGGGCGACCGTTAAAATTTGAACCCTTGCAGAATTTCTTTATATTCCTTTTCTTTTTCTTTTTAGTCCAAAGGGGCAATTTGCCGGGAATGGCTATTAATTTCGTTTTCGCATTTTGCGTCGATTCACTATAAGCGTTGTTTCACTTTTCAAATTGTTGCCACCGAATATTATCGCCCTGTAATATATTTAAAGAAATTAAATAATGAAGAATCTGAATAAATGCATGTATGTTTCTCGCACTGTGATAAAACAACGGTGCTACATCCAATTTTGGATAACGTACGTCCCCACCGCAATATAGGCATCTGAAAGCCCAAATTTGGAATTTCGAATTTGTTTAATTATCCATTTCATATTTTTAAAGCATTTATGAGTTTTAGATTAAGAAACTCAACGATCGAGCAATGGCAACACTGTACGAAAAAAAAATAGTTTTATCTCCAGCGCACGAGAAATTCTAAAGATATGCTCTTTTAATTTTTTGTGATGTTGCTGTTGAACTGAATTTTATGGTATAAGTGTGAAGAATATGATATTTAATAAATAAAGGTAACACACAAATCGTTAAAAAAACGCCTCCTTGGGTAATTTTTTTTTTAAAATTTATTTGGAGATGCACGAATAATCCATTGGTTCGAATACCGCAAAAATCGGCGTAAACAAGCCTAATTTCAAGAAGTGCTCAATTTCACAGAAGTCTTAACCTTTAGTAAATCAAATATGGCAACGTGACCTTCAGACAGTCAGATTGTAAATCAATCTTATAACTTAAATTAAAATTCACAGATGGCACCAACTCGTGCTTACAGAAGTCAACACTTTTGGCTTAAATCAAAAAGACAATAATGAGTAACGTAAAACAAAGGGAGTAAGTTTTGTCAACGGCTTCACGGATTGCTTAACGTGCAGCCTAGCTCTGACACCTAAAAATCGGTGTAAATGAGTCTAATTTCAAGAAGCGCATAATGTTACAGAAGTCTAATCGACAGCAAATCTAATATGGCAAAGTGGCATTCGGACAAGCAGAACAAGTTCTAAATTCACCTTCCAAAAACCTTCCCTTAAATACTAACTTCTTTCTATCTGATTTGAATGCATGCGCGCTAACTCATTTGCATCCTGGCAAGAAAACATGAGTTGAAAGCAAAAACGATGGGAAAGGTTGCTTCAAAATAAAATCAACCGTTAAGTAAACTAAATAAATCCCCAAAATCTGTTTTGATATTTGGAATGAATCTGTAGGTTCTTCTACCTTGTTAGTTATGTTTTAACCCGTCGTCCCGTTTTTTAAGCATAGTTTGCTTTAGTGACTTTTTTAATGTGAGACTTAATAAGCTGAATATAAGTTGTTATTGCATCTTGATTGCTAGCCGCTTCTTCTTCATTTCCAAGTGTTTCGGAGTACTCTTTAAGCCATTCACTTATTATTTTACGAATAATCCGCAAGAGAATAATTGGGAGTGCAAAAAGGTATGCTGCAGTCAATAATCCATGAAAGAATCCTTATTTTGAAAGCTTTACCAGTGACTGACTCATTAAGAATCCTGCAAATGGGAAATTCAGCTTCAGCGGAATGAAGAAATATATGTAAATATATTTCTCAATGGAATGAAGAAATATATGTAAATATATTTCTCAATGGAATGAAGAAATATATGTAAATATAGTTAGTTCTCAATAGAATGAAGAAATATATGTAAATATAGTTCTCAATAGAATGAAGAAATATATGGAATGAAGAAATATATGTAAAATATAAAACGAAAAAAGAAAATAAAAATATAACAAATAACCAGATGAATGTCCATTCATTAATTGCATAAATATTAATGAGTAATATCAGTTTCTGAATCATCACATTATTTCACATTCAGGTCTAAATAAATAAAGGTAATCCTTGAGTTACGATGACTCCCTTTTGTGACAGCCGAAACTAAGATTAAAAAATATGAGACGCAGCCAAATATTACTGATAAATGTGTGAAGGAACAATTAGGTAATATTAATTTTCTGATTAAAGAAATTACTCACGGTTCTGAATCATCCAAATGAGTAATAATTACTAATCTTTACGTTAATTGAAAGACTTCGATTAGGCGTTTCTAATTTGTTATGCATGCTAACTAAATTAAACGGAAAGTATGTGTTAATTTTACAAAATATGTGCAAGGAATTTCACTACGTTCTCTCTCACTGTAACTGGTAGCAAGCCAGGCTAGAAATTCAAACAGCCGGATCTCGGATCCTGCAAGAAGGCAGCTGATTTTCCATACTCCTAGTTTTAAAAAATTCTAATGCATCTCACATATATTTAGACATTCTTCAATCCATTTTATTCCGAATATAAGTACAGTTTATAAAAATATTATCAACTATATCAAGAAAAAATAATTCCTGACTTACGTCGATTGGTTTGTTTTATGTGATTGTGGCAAAGCTTTGAGTGCTATCTGCTTAAGGGGAGGGATGCCTACGTGAAGGAGTTTCTAAGGAAAACTGGCTCGTATACACGTTACACGTACGGAAAAGACACGAAAACGGCCATGCATCCAGTCCGTTCGCGGGATTTTCAACCTCTGACTGAACTACCAGTATTCAGCAACACTGGTCCGACGCTGGGCCGCTGGTAAACTCGGCTTACGTAAGAATCGATTTACAATGGGACCGCTAATTGTCTTAAGTGAAGGTCTACTTGTATTACTGAAAGTTTATATGGGAGAAAGTCCCATTAATATAAAGTGGAAAATCAAATTCTCCTCCTGCAAAAAATGTTATATTAATGTAGATTTGAATAAAACTCCATGATTTTATTCGATATTTACACGCAAAATCTGAGTTGTTTTCAGAAGAAAGAGGGCTAATTTTATATTAAGGAAATTTACTTACGTATAAACGAATATATCGCTTTCGGCTATTTGTGCTTTGTATAATAATATATCTCTGTAATTTTTCATTCAAAAGCTTATTCTACTTGAAAAAAATTCTAAGAAAGAATACATACCTCCCCTTATGCTAAGTAGAATATGCAGACTTGCATTCATCAGTATTAGAGCAAACAGAGCTAATTTCACAGCCAGACCGTGTACAGTGTAGCTGACTCGAGAAGGAGAGCACACAAAGAATATATTGTAGCGATCCACGATATATTTCACAATAAAGTACATCAAACCTGTGCAGAAATTAATTTGTCAAAATATTATTCTTGTGGCAAAGGAAACTATAAGACTTTCCGACGACAATCGGCCACGGAATTTTCATTTGTGATCAAAGGCACATCGCGATCGCCTTCAACCTTCAGAACAGGCCTTAAAAATGTGTCCGCTATATTTGCAGTTGTATATTGCACGCATATTTATGAGGTTTCAGGCATTCTACCATCAATTAGTCCCATGTGTCCCATGTTACACGCTTTCGAGTACACTGTAAAAAAAAACCTCGAAGTTTACAGACAAAAGTCTTGTATAGTTACAGAAATGCGAACAATTACGAAGGAAATACCTGTAACGAACACAGAACCAAACGAAACTGTAAATCTACAGGAGTTTTTCAAGAAGTTTTGCTTGGATTTGTCCGTAGCGTGTGATCACGTGGCTTAAACGGCTGAGAGAGAAGAACCAATCAGGAAGAAGGTGGAAAAACAGCGTCTTAGCGAGAGAGTTCAACGATAGTCGCCATGTTAGCCATTATTTTGCTATGGTCGAGGTAAGTTCGAAATAGTGTTTGACGTGTATTTTACTACTTTTATGTAATGTATTTGTTAGTTCTTTACACTATCTATAATTAAATTCTTTTAATGTTTAGCTTATATTCTAATGCTCCTAAATAAACTGTGTTGAATATTGTTAAGAGTTCAAATCACAGAGCTTGTGTTCCATTTAGTAAAATACAACTTTTATTCGTTACATCTGCAGGTGTCTGCAGTTAAAACTGCTCATATTTATAAACAGAAACAAATTGTTAATATGTTAGTATAAAAACAAATAAGCTTAATATTAATGTTCTATCTATAGTCTAATATTTCTCATGTTAAATATTTATGTATCTTTAAAACATATCGCGTTAGAATATTCATATTTTTCATTTTGTTGACAGATGTAACATTATTATTCCATACATGTTATCATTAATCCCAGCGTGAACTGCTTTAGAAATTTTCAGAGCATTATTACTATGTATGTTATTATAATCTCAACGAAAAAAGAAAAAATAAATGTAATATATTTAAAAATTCGACAAAATAACTTAACATACATTAAAAATGGAATATCATTTCATTAATACATGCGATAAGTTCGCCTTAAAAGATTATATAGTCGGATAGCAATTACATATTTGTAAAAGTATTCAATGTATATTATTTTTTGTGTTAAAGGTAGTTTAATCCAGGACAGTCTTACCAACTTATAAAGCATCTTTAAGTTACATTATAACCAACATTTACAAAAGGCAATCGAAATGCCGTGACTTTGACATTTTTAACTATGATGTAACATACTAGGAACATTAAAGAAAAAAAATTCTATTTTTTCCTTTATGCTTGTTGAAAAGTAAAAATTAATAAAATGGTACAATATCATTCTAGTACTACAATGTAAATTTACATATAAATTTACTATAAATTTGGTGCAAAGTTCATTATAAAATGCATTTGCTAATATTTAATAGTTATAGCATTCAATATCAATCATGGAAATATTAGTAATGATACGTCAGTTGCATATATTAATTTCAATACTCAGCTCAATGCCAAATTTCTTCTATATCTGAGATAACAGTATTTTTTGAAAATAATTAATTGTGTCATCTTTTCATTTAAAAAATCTCTTTCAGATATATTTTAATGTGAATTATTTTCAAAATTATCCTCATTAGAATGAATGTTGTTCTCTTTATTATGTTTGAAAAACTGCCGTTACGCTAAAAAATATATTCAGAAAACTATTTATTGCTGAATGTTTAAAATAAGTTCTACTGCTCCTTTTTGACAAAGAGTATCCATTTGAATTGCAGTTGGTTTTAATTAATCGTTGGTTGTATTTTAAGAACTACTTGATAAAATTCAACAAATTAGTTCAATCTATGAGTTCATCTGAAAAACCTAAAATTTTATTTCCAATTCTGTCATGTGTATATATTTCAGAATGAAAAAGAATTACAAATTCACTATCCAACAATACTGAGTAATATGTTGTTGATATAGCCAAACTTAAATGACCCATTTTAAAACCAGATTAAATAAATCATCGCGTATTTTCGGTATCAATTTCTTTGGCGTTAAAAGTGTCATAGATTTAGTAAATCCAGGGTCAAGGTAAGCTCAAATATTTTTTTCTAGTTCATATTTGCTAAGTTATAATTTTGTGATGCAAAAGTTATGTAACTTATGCAAAATATGCTTAGAGTATTTGAATAGTGTTGAAAAATCACTGGAATTTAAAATGTAATGACAGTATGCCTTAAAGCTTGTTTGGTAAAAGCATATTTATGGGTGCCCCTTGGCAAATTTGGCGATTTTTGGCAGTACATGGATACCGAGTTTGTGCAATTCTTTGACCATTTATTTTGGCTTGTTTAGCGACGATTTGTGTGCCAAAAACCGCCGCTACACGAAGACAGATTGCACATACTCGGTATCCATGTACACATCGACCTATTTTCACTTAAAAAAAATCTGTGAATTGTACAAACTTGGCATCGTGCACTCCCTTGACTTTATCCATGTACACATCGACCTATTTTTACTTAAGAAAACATCAGAGAATTGCACAAACTTGCGCTCCCTTGATAATACAGGGAGCACCCTTCAATATACTCTAACTGCTGTTTTTCATATATTAAAACATTTTAGGCATTTAAGATATCTTCCTGTAAGTTACAACTAAATGAATGACTCTTAAGCATAACAATTTCAAATTTTTATGCTTAAGAGTAGAAGGAGTTATACACTTTTTAAATAACAGTGTCAGAAATATATACTTTTTAAAATATGTAAAACCATTGTTTGAAGTATAGAAAAAACCTACCTTAGCAACTATACCTCTTTAAGTGATTATGTCAAGTATCTGGTGATCAAACATTGATATTAATTATCACTGAGAATCATGCTTTGTGAGTAACACACCTCCATTAAATATCAAAATTGTACAAAATTATGGAAAAGTATAGAAGTGGTTTTACTGTATACTTAAAGTATATCATATCACTGTTAGATAATTGATGATGGTAAAAGATATTATCTAATCATAAATATTTCAAGCATTAAATAGCTTAGTGTAAGTCAATAAGTTTTCAGATTCTGACTTGTTACCTGTCTTTCACTATGTAATATTTTTCTAGCAACTGTGGTTAAGTACCAGTAAGTAAGTTTGTCTTAAATACCACTTAATGTAATCAGGGTATCATCTGTTCTGGTCTGGTAAAACTTAATCGTAAAGTGAACAAATGAATATCTGTAAAACTAAAGATGACACTCTATGTAAAACATATACAAGCGTTAGAAATGTCTATGAGAGGAACATTTAAAATATTAAATCCGCAATCAATTTTTGCGACATCTAAGATAGGAAATACCCAAACTGACTAGTTAATTGAGAGGATGAATGCATGTAACATCATTGTTCATGTGCTTGTTAATTGTGTAAGTTTTGAAGTTCATGCATTATGTTGATGTTCATTGATAACTGTTCATTGGCCTTAATATGCATACATGCATTTCAAAATTTTGTATATTTTACGAGTGAGCTAAGTATTAAATGCTGTTACGTATAAATTCATATTATGTGGAAAAGTAGTTTTTGATCTATTTACACTTTCTGAAGAATTTTTTAATGTTGATCATCAAGCTTAAAGCATACAGATGAAAGGTACTTTTCCGTATTAACCATAATTTAATTATTTTTCCTGCAATCTCGCCAAGCAGACTTTGATTGGCGACAACATACAGTATACACATAAAAACTGTGTAATTCTAAGAATTTTTTTTTTATTTTGAAAGGCATAAACATTTTAATATGGTTTTAAAATTTTGTAAAAAAAAAGACAATAAATTTGTAAAAAAGACATTAATTTAAGAATTTACTATGATTTCATGGTTCAAATCCTGATTCGCCGGTTCGTATCACGTGACCCCAAGTGATCTCATCTCACGTAAACTACGCTACTAAAAATCTAATTCGCTCAGTAATTATCTACATTAATTTCAAGTTAAATCTTAATTTGGAATACAAGTTTAAATGCAAGAATTATTTCAATTCGTACGAATAGCTTACTCAGAAATTATGTAAAACCGCAGTGCTTTACTTCGCTAGTGCATTCTCATTAGAATTGATGAATTTAACACTTGATTTCGCCTTCGGATGAGCGGTGTAATTGCGTTCTAATTGACTTAGAACCTAATTGACTTAGAACTAATTGACTTATTACCGTGAATTGTCTTAGGGGATAAAATTTAAATATCGTGTAAAAATTCTATATTATTGTATGCCAGTATTGAATGAAACAATCTGATAAGAAATGGCTTCAACTTGTTTTGAAACTGAGGCGTAAAAGGTTACCAACAAAGATATTCCGTCTGGCATCAGTTAAACCATTATTGGCGACTTTATCGTTTGCGCCGTCAAAACGGAAAAGTACCGGCTGAAATTACCAGTATTAACCATAATTTAATTATTCTCCTGTTTCAGCGTTTCTCATACTTTTTTCGAATAGAGATTATGTGAATTATCATAATTTGTGAATCACCTTGCTGCTGTTCCCTTTGAAAGCAATTTTTTAGCATATATTACTACTAGTACACTTATATTTTAATATATGATTAAAATCCATTATATTTCATAATTAAGTCCATTGAAGAAAAGTTATATTTCTAATATTTCAAGATTATTAATGAGAAGGATGATTTGTAATTCTTGCAAGGCTCTTTTATATTTGGATATATGATGGTAAGACCACAGTCTTAGTGGATATATGATAGTATATTTGGATATATGGTGGTAAGTACACAGTTATAGTGCTTTAATCATAATTTAAATCATCTTTTACTGCTAAGACTGAGTGGGAAGTCCCTAAGTAGGGTAACCAATAATAATTTCATAAAATGTCTATCTTACGAGAAAAGGTGATAGATGATTGTCATATGTAACTTTTTAAACTCTGAGATTTTTCAACTAA